TACTACTACTACTACGACTAGCTACTACTACTACTACTACTACTACTACTTCTACTACTACTACTACTACTACGACTACTACTACTACGACTACTACTATTACTACTACGACTACGACTACGACTAGTACTACTACTACTACTACTACTACTACTACTACTACTACCACGACTACGACTACGACTACGACTACGACTACGACTACGACTACGACTACGACTACGACTACGATTACCACCACCACTGCTACGACGCAGACCTACATTTTCGCGTTTCAGGAAGAGAGCCTAGTATCCTTTCGAACGCGTTCCCATGACCGAGTTGTTGTGGGTTCTCTGAGCGTCATTGGGCTCGAAACCGAGCCCCACACGCTCAAATGGTGGCATGAATTAGCGTCTGTCCGCGAAGTCAGGAGTCTGTACCTGTCCTGAGGCGCGTTCCAACCAAACTCCTGGGCAAAAAAGTCGACCCCCGCGCCACCATTAATAACACCCTGGGGATAAGAAACTTGGGGTCCCTGGGGGGGGGTCCCGGCAACTCGTTTGTACGGTGTGCAGATGTACGGTGTGCGGATGTACGTATACAGTAGAGGCCCGACCACAAGAAACCTTCCACAAGAAACCCAACCCTGAGACCCCAGGACGTCCATTGATTTTCGGTGTGGAAACGTCACGCTTCCCATCGCAAAACCATCGAAACCCTAGAAACCCAGGGTAACTTCGGAAAGCTGAAATGGTGAGATTCCCATAGCCCTGCCAGACGCTCGTGACTTGGGAAAGCTGCGTTGGCAAAAATCCTAAAAATCCCATAGCCGTGCGAAACGTCCGTGGTACTGTTGCTACTCAACCTAAAGAAATAGCAACTTCGATTCGTACTGTCCACGGCGATAAACAAGTTCGGCCTCGCCGCCCCTCTGGCCCGGAGATAATCAAGACTCAGACAGATGTGAACGGGGGGTATGCTTTCACTATTCAGGGCAAGGGGTTACCCTCCACACCTCTCATGGGTGCGGCCTGGCCAGAATTTCGAGGAACGTCCAGCCGCGGTGACAAGCCCAGAGGCCCACGAATGACCCAAGAGCTCTGTCCTCGACGCAAGATCCTCGAACCTCCACCCCCCCCTCGCTGTCCTCCCCTTAACCGAGGGCAGAATGAAGACAAAGTCGGATCCGGATAAATCGTGAATCTCTGAGGTCTGGTGGTTCTGCATGATGCATCCGGTGCCGCGGACTTCTCAGAGCGTTCCAGAACGCTCTGAAAGCGTTCCGGAACGCTCAGGAAGAGTGCACGGTTTCCCCCGGGGCCTTAGACGACCCGAGGAGGAGGAGGAGGAGGAGGAAGAGGAGGAGGTCGTGGAGGAGGGGGTGGGGGAGGAGGAGGAGGAGAGAGGAGGAGGAGGAGGAGGAAGAGGAGGAGGAGGAGGAGGAGGAGGAGGAGGTCGTGGAGGAGGGGGAGGGGGAGGCGGAGGAGGAGGAGGAGGAGGAGGAGGAGGAGGAGGAGGAGGAGGAGGAGGGAGGAGGAGGACGGGTCGCCTAAGCCCTTCGGAGAGACCCTCCGCGGGAGCGATGTGTCCCGCTCCTGGGCATGCCTGCCGGATCCAGCCTCCTCTTCCCCCAACGCTGCCCTCCCCGCCAGGGTCGTTTACAAAGAAGGCAGCGGGCCCATCGTCAGGGCTGGTAACCTCCGGAAGCGCCCGAAGACCCTCGAAACAGCGACGTGGACGATCCACCTTGTCGTGGTCGTGGGTCGTGGTCGTGGGTCGTGGTCGTGGTCGTGGTCGTGATCGTGGCCGTGGTCGTCGTCGTCGTCGTCATCGTCGTCGTCGGTCATCGTCGTCGCCGCCGTCGTAGTGTCGTGTCGTGTCGTGTCGTGTCGTGTCGTGTCGTGTCGTGTCGGGTCGGGTCGGGTCGGGTCGGGTCGTCGTCGTCATCGTCATCGTCGGTCATCGTCGTCGCCGCCGTCGTAGTGTCGTGTCGTGTCGTGTCGTGTCGTGTCGTGTCGTGTCGGGTCGGGTCGGGTCGGGTCGGGTCGGGTCGTCGTCCTCGTCCTCGTCCTCGTCGTCCTCGTCCTCGTCCTCGTCCTCGTCCTCGTCCTCGTCCTCGTCCTCGTCCTCGTCCTCGTCCTCGTCCTCCTGCTCGTCCTCGTCCTCGCCCTCGCCCTCGCCCTCGTCCTCGTCCTCCTCGTCGTCGTCGGCGTCGCCATCGTGGTCCTCCCCCCACGGTGCAGGCCTCCCGCGTTCCCGCAGCCGCCCGGGTGCTTGCGGTGCTTCCCGATGCGCCCGCGGCCCGCCGAGATCGCCCCGCGCAGGTGGCGGTTCTTCTTGTAGCGCGTGGTCATCGCGTCCTACTCGGGGAGACGTAGGACTCGGGGTCGGGGGACTCCCCCGAAGGGGGAGTCACCCTTTTTCCAGAAGGACACCAGGGAGGGCACTTCCCTCAGTGGAAGTGAATCGGGGCCTATGAAGAGGGAGCTTGGACGGTCTATTCCAACATCGATAGTGAGTCTTGGGTGTGTTACACTGGTCCTCCTCCTCCTTCTCCTCCTTTTCCTTCAACTCCTCCTCCTCCTCCTCCTCCTCCTCCTTCTCCTCCTCCTGCTCCTCCTTCTCCTCCTCCTTCTCCTCTTCCTCCTCCTTCTCCATTCCATGTCCTTCCTTCGCCGTCGCCTCTTCTGGACCTTCGGGCCCCCCTCGTCGCCATGGCTGGACACGGCTATCAAAACGGGTCAGGATAGAGCCCAGTAAAGTCCAGGGACATGCTATGTGCGGACTCCAGAGACGAGATTGGAGGTTTAGGAGGTTATATGCGTGAGAACGGTTGGCCGGTGTACTGGGGCGTCCTTGAGGTTTGGGGGGGGGAAGGCAGGCGGAGGCAGCAGGCAGTGGATGGAGACGAGGGAAGGCAGGAACACAGGAGGGGAGGGAGTGGAGGAATAGAGGGCAGGTTCGCGAAGAAGGGATGGGGTGGCCATCGTGTCCTCTGGGTGCCGTTACCAGATGCCCGTCTGCAAGCGGACTCGAGCCGAATCTGGCTTGAGCCAAACTAGCTGCGAACCCCAGATGATCTCCGCTTGGCAGAAGCTTGAAATGGTCTGCTCGATCGAAACGAATCTCCTCCTCATACTAGCTATGACCTGTCGGATGGTATGTCATCATTCCGGCTCCTCTTCCTCCTCCGCATCTTCCTTCTGTCATCAGCGCCGTCACAAGCCATCAACATCATCATCATCATCATCATCATCATCATCATCAGCAGCAGCAGCAGCAGCATCATCAGCATCATCATCATCATCATCATCATCATCATCAGTATCATCATCTACATCGTCATCATCGTCAGCATCACCATCATCATCATCATCATCCTCATCCTCATCCTCATCATCATCATCATCATCATCATCATCATCAGAATCAGCATCATCAGCATCAACATCACCATCATCAGCCTCACCATCCGCATCATCATCATCATCATCATCATCATCATCATCATCATCATCATCATCATCATCATCAGCAGCATCACCATCATCACAATCGTCAGCATCGTCAAGTCCATCATGATCATCCGCATCTACATCATGATCAGCATCACCATCATCAACATCATCATCATCATCATCATCATCATCAGCAGCAGCATCATCGTCACCATCAGCATGTTCATCAGCATCATCCTCAGCAGCAGCAGCATCAGCATCCGCATCATCAGCACTACCAGTATCATTAACACCACCACCAGCATCACCAGCATCATCAGCATCGTCATCATCAACATCACCATCATCAGCCTCACCATCCGCATCATCATCATCATCATCATCATCATCATCATCATCATCATCATCATCATCATCAGCATCAACATCACCATCATCAGCCTCACCATCCGCATCATCATCATCATCATCATCATCATCATCAGCAGCATCACCATCATCACAATCGTCAGCATCGTCAAGTCCATCATGATCATCCGCATCTACATCATGATCAGCATCACCATCATCAACATCATCATCATCCTCATCATCATCAGCAGCAGCAGCATCATCGTCACCATCAGCATGTTCATCAGCATCATCCTCAGCAGCAGCAGCATCAGCATCCGCATCATCAGCGCTACCAGTATCATTAACACCACCACCAGCATCACCAGCATCATCAGCATCGTCATCATCAACATCCTCCTCATAACAATAATCAGCATAATAATCATCATCAGCATCATCAGCAGCATAATCAACATCGCAATCGTCATCGTCAGCATCATCATCATGATCATCAGCAGCAGCAGCAGCATCAGCAACATCATCGTCATTAGCAGCATCATCATACCGCCGAAACCACCACCACCACCACCTCCACAGACCACCAGCATCATCATCCTCATCATCATCACCACCACCATCATCATCATCACCATCATCAATATCATCATTATCATCATCATCGAGATCATCATTGTCACCATCAGCAGCATCAGTATCAGCATCATCGCCATCATCATCATTTGCAGAATCCACCATCAACATCATCATCAGCATCACCAGCATCATCATCACCAGCCACATCATCATCGGCATCGTCATCAGTATCCGTATCATCACCATCGTCGTCGTACGATCAGCATCGTCATTATCATTCTCAGCAGCATGACCATCATCATCATCACCAGCATCAGCATCATCTGCATCAGCATCCTCATCAGCATCAACATCAACATCAACATCATCAGCATCATCATCAATGAATCGTCGTCGTCGTCGCCCCGTCCTTGTCCTCGTCCTCTTCCTCGTCCTCGTCCTCGCCGTCGCCGTCGTCGTCCTCGTCCTCGTCCTCGCCGTCGCCGTCGTCGTCGTCCTCCTCGTCCTGGTCCTGGTCCTCGTCCTCGTCATCGACGTCGTCGTCACACTCCTGCTCCTCCCCCCCTCATCCTCTGCAGCGTGCTCCATCCCTTCCTCCTTCGCCAACCTCCTTCCTCCTCCCTCCCGCCTCCGATCCTTCCTAGCAAGCGCTTGCGCGTGCGACGAGACGGGCCGACCAGGAACACAGACATCCGACGACGTGCTGTTTGGGCAGCTTGGCTCACCAGAGGCCTGGACTCTAGAAACGGAACCCTTCATCCTGCGCCGTTGCCGGACGCGTCTCCCAGGGCCCACGGCAAGGACCCCACGGACCGAAGACTGGCAAGCAAACCTCCCGCCGTGATCTCCTCGAGACGCGAGCACATGCGGGAGGCAGGGACACCTCGCGCTCCCCGCACCCAGCGGAGGGGAAACGAGAAGTAGGGTTAGGTCGGGCATGTCCCCCATACAGGGGGGTTTTGGACAAATACCCCAAACCAAATCCCAAATCGTCAAAAATAAATTTTACAAAAGTCCCCAGACTATTTTTTAAACTATTTTGGAATGTTCCTCCTGTAGAGGGACAGGCTCGACTTAAGAGTAGGGAGACAAGCTCGGGGGGGGGGAACATCGAGCTGGAATCGGCGATACACCGCCAATGGATCGGCGACCGGCCCCGGCTCGCAAATCCGCTGCGCGATCCATGGGCGATTGCAAGTCGGTGCATTCGCCACTGAGCCTATCCACCCCAACGTTGCCCCTGGCTTTCCGGCCACAATTCGGGCCTCTGGCGACCGTGCGGGACGCTACGGGCACCCCGAGGATGCTCTCGGCGAGGCGCAACTGCTGGAAGACATCTCGAAGTCCGACAACCGCCGAGAACCGACGAAACCGCCGGAAGACCTCGAACCTCGAGAGCATTTGTTTTTCGCGGCGGCAAGGGGCGTCATGGGGGAGGGAGGGGTGGTTGGCGGGGGGGGGGGGGGGGGCACAGCGTAACGCTCCCCCCCGTCGTGTGGGTCCCGCCAGCACCACAGACCGTGGTGCAGGATACACTGCGGCAATACCAGGCACGCACCAGGGGGGAAGCGTTACGTTCTGGGGAGGGGGAGGGGGGGAGAGGGGGGGGGAGGGGAGGGGGAAGGGGACGGGGGGCAAATCGCGCGTTGTGGCCCAGAGGGTGAACAAGAAAACTCTCCTCGAACCTCGATGACCGAAACCGTTGCCCCTGAGCACCCAGCGAGGGCTCGACACGCCACTCTGGGGAGAACAAAAGGTACAGACACTGCTACTCCCCAGACCTCTCCTGGGGTGCGTTCTGACCAGGACTTCGAGGCGCATCCAGCGGTGGCGACGAGGGCCTCCCAGGGGGCGAAAAAAAGGGGGAAACGAGGGAAGGGTTCCGGTACGGGTACAGTTGGACCTGGGCCAGAGGAACATACCAGAACAAAAACATGACACCCTCCGTCGGCCAGAACAAAAAAACATAACATCCAAGGGTAACCTCCCCAGGATGCACAAGGGCATCCAACACGCACGAAGAACACTAGGGTACTCTCCTTAGCCGACCTCAATGTGAGCGTTTTTTGATTCGGATACCCCCTGGCCCAAAGTACCCCTGGCCCAAGGTACCCCCAGGATTCCTGGGTTGGCCCAAGCGGCCTCCGGGGCACCCCTCACGAGGCCCAGAGGGCCTCCTCCAGAATGGAACGAAAAGCTGCGGGCACCTCGGGCCAGGGGCACTTCTGTAGCAACGCCCGGCAAGATGCAAAGAGGTCCGGTTTCGAGGGGCAGGAATCGATCCCCGGACATGCTCTGGGGTGCGGTATGGCCAGAATCTGACGGCGGATCCAGACGCGGCGGCGAGGAGCCCCCCGGAGGCCGAAGAAGAGCGAGCACACATGCAAGCTCGATATCCTGACCTCGAGACACAAACGTCCGCCGTGATTTCGCGGCACCATGCGAGGATGTCTGCGGCCCCGGAGATCCAACGCCGCGAACCAAATGCAACACCGCGCAAAAACACGACGGGAGTTCCAGACCCCTTCTTTCTGCTGCATGTTTCCAACTGGACGGACCTGCGTGCGTATGGGGAGCAAACAATAATAAACAAGGAGACGCTGCAAACAAAAACTCAGGGAGGTCCACGCAGTTTTCCGGCTATGTCATGTCGCGATGTACTCCAAATCCCTCATAAATCGTCCCCAGGGTCCGGTCTTTTAAGGCGCCTGTTTTGTAACTGAGGGGGGTCCAGTTTATTAGGGCGCTTTCTTTGGATTGGAGCCTAGGGGGTCCGGTTTATCAAGGCGCCCCGTCGAAGCAAGGGGTCCGGGATATCAGGCCGCATCTGGAGGGGGGTCCGGTCTTTCAGGGGGGGGTCGATTAATAAGGGATTGGGAGCATGTTGCATGTTTCGATGCCGTATCGAGATGTTCAGCATGGGGGAAAACGGGTCCTGAGGGAGAGGGGTCCTGGACCCGGGGGCCTTTAACCAGGACGAACTCTGCATCCTGGATCGTTTTCTGCCAGTCGAAGGACCCGCGGAGGGCCCCGAGGGGCCGAAACGGCGAAGAACCGCGGGCCGCGAAGAACCGAGGGCCAGAAACGGCGAAGACCCGCTTCTCCCACGGCGATCTGTATGTGTGTATTGGCCCCAGAAGCGGAAACTGGGCGACAACGCGGGCCCCGATCTCAGGGGTGGCGGCGGGCAGCGGCGGCCGCGCGCGGCGCGCGAACCCCGCCGCGCCTCCTGCGGGGGGTGGCCGCCCCCGGACGCCTCGCTGCCGGCGGTGACGACCTGCGGGACCGGCGGCGGCGGCGGCGACTGGACTGGATGCGGACTGGGTGCGGCCTGCGTGAGCGAGACATGGACGAACGAACAGCACACACCCATACTCATATGAGGGGTCGTTGGGAGGTGGACGGGCTATGGGTATGGGTGCGGGTTGACGGACCCCGGGGGGCGTTCCCGTTCGATCGGGGGGCCCATCCGACAACACGCACCCATAGCCGTTTCCGACCCTTTTTATTGGCATGGGTGCATGTTGTTCGTTGGTCAGACACTCCCCAGATATGATCGCGTCATGCAAAGAACGACTGGAGCTCGTCTGGCATTTTCGGCCTCTGTGGGGCCCTCGCCGGGCCCCGGGATTATCAAAAACAACCGGGAACGAAAAAACGCCCCAGGGGAAAAGGTCGGAACGACCAGGGTATGTCCTTCATTGCGGTCTCTTGGGTTGGCTATCGGGCCCCAGGGCCGTCAACTCTCCGACGGAGACGAGAAATAACCCCTGGGGGAGGCGCCAGGAGAGGAACCGAATACTTGTTTCAGCTCTCACGCCGAAATCAGGCCGACACCTGCGGGACGCGACGCCAAGGGCCTGCATCAAGCGAGCTCGCGGTCTGACGAAACCGCCCAGCACGGTGCCGAACGACAGCTGAGGATAGAACCCCGCCGCCCGAGTGAAACCCTCAACGCGCCAATGGCACACGTTGGGCGGCCAGGGGCCGGTGGGGGCCCACGTCAAAAAGAATGTACCGAGGCACGTTCCTGAGGGGTCCAACTAGAAGGGTCCTCGGCAGGGCGTGTGCGAAACACAACAGGGCGCGCGCCAAGCCCCGGGAGAGGCCCGATTGAGCACACAGGTTCCCCCCCCCCCCCCCGGACACCCGCGATGGGCCACCCGAAATTGCGCCCTGGGCAGAGGCGCGGCCCAGACCCTCCACTGGTGAGATTGACTGTGTCGATGCCGTGGCCGAGCCAAACATCCGAGTCTTTCATGTCACCGATCCGGGCCGGCGAAGGCTCCAGTTTGGACGCCCGAAACGGGCACGGAAAGCATGGGCACAGTGCCCAACAGCAAACGTTGTCCCAAACCAACAGCGGCTGCTGTGGGGCAGGCGGCCTTCTGTCTCGAGTGGACACAGGCCGCGGCGGCGCGGGCAGCGAGTCCTGTTCAAAATGAACAGGAATTTGCTGTTGGGCATCGTACCCATTCTTTCCGTGCCCATCTCGTTCGTGCAGATCCAGGGGCAGACGGTACGGTGCGCGCGCCCGGGGGTGGAGGGCCGATCGACGCAGGGCCGCGCCCCCGCACGGGCACGCACATCGACCAGCGGCGCAGCGGGCGCAGCTCCGCGCCCGAGGCACGCGGAGAAGAACGGTGCAGCCGAGTCGGGAAAAGTCGAATCGGCGGAATCGGCAGGCTGGTAGGCCTCCAGTGAGAAGTCGGCGCCCAAGTCGGAATCCCAAATCGAATCGAATCGGAATCGGAAGCCATCGAAGTCGAATCGAATCGACTCGAAGGAATCGAAACGAGTCCTGAAGGACGCGCGGTTGAAAGAAGATCGAGCCACGAAAGCGTGACCGCATGCGGCTCGAGGTCCCGTGCGGGGCCGCTCGAACCAAGCGAAGGGCCGACGCCTCGCGCCGCTGGGCGCCTGCCACCGGATAGAGACTTGCAGATGTCTGGCACGTTGGCTGTTCTCGAAGAGGCTAGGAGGCAACTACTGGGAGGTTTTCGTCGGAAGGATTAAATGGGATTCAGCTCCATTTGGGAGCTGTTACGCCGGAATGGGCCACGGACTAAGCAGGATTAAGCCGGATTAGGCAGGATTAAGCGGGATTAAACAGGATTAAGCGGGATTAAGCAGGATTAAGCCGGATTTCGGACCAGGGCTAAATCAGAATTTTACCTCCCAGGAGTTGCATCCGAAAAGAGGCAGGCGCCGTCTCAGGATGGCCAATAGTCACGCAGTTGAGGCTTTCGGCGGAGGCAGCAGGCAACAACATCGAAGGCACGCCGCAAAACATTGATTCGCAACTCTTACCGTGAATGCACGCTGGCTTCCGACGGGAGCTCCAGGGGCGCGGATAAAAAGAGGGTGTCTGAGAACTCCGACCACTGCTCAACTAAAGGCTCGGCTCAGGAGAACGAGTACTCCGAACTTCTTGTTAATCAACCGGGGGGGACGAACGTGAAAACGCGGCGTGGCCAACTCCCCCCCACCCCCGCGCCCCAGCGGGTAAGGGACCGCGAACGGGACTCAGTCCCCTGCCGGTCGTCCAGTGCCGCCATCATAGGCAACCAGAGGGGCCATCATAGGCACCTCGCACCCAATTCGGGGCCATCAGCAAGGCTCGTTTTGGAAAGAAGGACCATCATAGGCCTTCGCGCTCAATTTGTTCATTGAACTCAACTTTCTCGTCGTCGTCGTCCTCCTCCTCCTCCTCCTCCTCCTCCTCCTCCTCCTCCTCCTCCTCCTGGTCTCCACCCCATCGGAGCCGCGATGCAGGCAGTGCGGGCAGCACCTCGACCTCATGGATGATGAGCACGACGAACGTTGTTGGTGGACGTCCGCCCTTGCCCTCTCTCCCCCCCCCGGTGAGGACCATCATAGGCCTTACCAGTGAGGACCACCATGAGGCCTCACACCCCTCGCAGTTTCCATCATCGGAACTGCGGGGGTCGAACCAAATCCCCACAAACCTGGCACCGTACGTGCAGTGCCAGGGGCGGCGGCCCGTCTTCCCATCCTCTACCATCATAGGGGGATGCGAAGTCCCTGAAGACGGGACGGGGTGGGCACGAGCGGGCATCATAGCCGGCTCAAAATCAAAAGAGGCATCATAGCCTCATCAATCTAGATTGATCCACTCACGGATCCACTGCAAATGATTTTCATTGACTTCATTCCATGCGTAGCATGCTCTCCCCTAATGGACCGTGAACGGGACTCAGTCCCCTGCCGGTCGTCCAGTGCCGCCATCATAGGCAACCAGAGGGGCCATCATAGGCACCTCGCACCCAATTCGGGGCCATCAGCAAGGCTCGTTTTGGAAAGAAGGACCATCATAGGCCTTCGCGCTCAATTTGTTCATTGAACTCAACTTTCTCGTCGTCGTCGTCCTCCTCCTCCTCCTCCTCCTCCTCCTGGTCTCCACCCCATCGGAGCCGCGATGCAGGCAGTGCGGGCAGCACCTCGACCTCATGGATGATGAGCACGACGAACGTTGTTGGTGGACGTCCGCCCTTGCCCTCTCTCCCCCCCCCGGTGAGGACCATCATAGGCCTTACCAGTGAGGACCACCATGAGGCCTCACACCCCTCGCAGTTTCCATCATCGGAACTGCGGGGGTCGAACCAAATCCCCACAAACCTGGCGCCGTACGTGCAGTGCCAGGGGCGGCGGCCCGTCTTCCCATCCTACCATCATAGGGGGATGCGAAGTCCCTGAAGACGGGACGGGGTGGGCACGAGCGGGCATCATAGCCGGCTCAAAATCAAAAGAGGCATCATAGCCTCATCAATCTAGATTGATCCACTCACGGATCCACTGCAATTGATTTTCATTGACTTCATTCCATGCGTAGCATGCTCTCCCCCCCACCTGGCACCCCCGCGGACGCGCCGCGGCCAACCCCCCGGGGCACTCCAAGGGGGGGGGGCGAGTATTAAGCGATCCGGAGCATACTTCTGGACAGAATTCTGATCCAGACGACCTAGACACACGTGCGCTGAGGTTTCGAGGCTTCAGACATTGGCGTTTGCCTGCATGTGCCCTGCAATGTGCGCGGCCGCGGCCGAGGGATCAGAGGATCGAAGCCGCAGACCCTCCACGAATGAAAAAAAAAAATATTAAATAAAAAACAAACAAACAAACAAAAACGTGGGACCCCCGAACTCGAATTCAGGTCTAGGCCTCCACAAGTCCAGGTGTCTCCATGGCTCTGGAGGGCTATCTTGTATGGCTCCCCTGCAAGCCAGGGCCTGACCTCCTCGCGTCCCGACATGCGTCTGCAGGGTGGCCGAATTCTGCTCAGCGGAGCCTGTTTGCACATGGCATGGAGGGTACAGAAGAGGGCGAGGAGAGCGCACCACCGAGGGGGATCCATACGGAACTACTTGCGCTCGATGCACCAGGGCCTCCTGACGGGTCATGAGCCATGAGTACCCTTTAACCGATCCCCATCCCAAGCGACGTGGCCTGGGCCCCACTGGCCGGCTTACCCCCCTAGATGGGGACATGGGTCGTTCCCTTCGGGTTTCACGGGGATGGGGATGGGGATGGGGATCGGTTGAAAGATATGAACGTCAAACGGGGCCTCCAGGAGGCGATCGCCGCTGCGCGCGGCCGCCACCGTGGCTGGCCCCAACCCACCACTGCTGGCTCAGAGACCCGAGGAGCGGGATCACTCCAAGCGCTGGTACCAAGATGGGCGGGGCCACGCCAGCGAACACTAGGAAAGGAGAAGGGAGGAGGAGCAGAGGGAAGGGGCTCGCTGGAGCTCCCCGGTATCCACGACGTGGCAACGAACTCGGCCCCACAACACCTCAGACGGGGGCTTACACGGGCAAGCAGCATCCCGCCCGATCCGGGAGGAGGAAGAAGGAGAACGAGGAAGGGGAGAGGAGGAGGGGGGGGAGGGCGAGGAGCAGGCCGAAAGGAGGAGGACGACGAGACTCAGACATCCGACCGACGTCGCGATTCTGTCACAACGTGGCCCCCTGGAGGTCCTCCTGGGGACCGGCTTCTCATCCCTTGAGCAGGGACCAACCGTCCTGGCACTCCTATAGGCCTACCACGACATGTTCTTGAGACCCCAGGGCCTCCATTGATTCTTGGCGTGGGAACGTCACGCTTCCCACAGGAAGCCAATCGAAACCCAAGAAACCCAGGGCACCCTGGAGGCAAGCAGGGTGCCTCTTGGCATGGGCCTCCACTGTGTGCGTGCCGTTTTCCTCCTCCGCAGGGGGGCGCGCGCGCGCCCGAGCGCCAGAGGCAGGCCGGCGGGGGCGGCGGGGGAGGCCCTCGCGCCCGCGGCCCTCGAAGCGGCATCGTGGGCCAGGGGGTGGTGGACCTCTCGGGGGGGAGGCAGACTGCCGACCAGGCACCCCAGCCCAACCCGAAGATCCAAAGTTTGAGTTGGGGGTGCCCGACGCACACCCTCCCCTCTGGGAGTGCAGGGCAAGCTGGGGCCTCTGGGCTGGGTTGGGGTGGACTGGCAGGCGCTGAGAAGCGGAGCCGGCTCTCGGAGATTGCTCCCTCCTGCCCCGCTCGATTCCCCTCCTCCGCCTGCCCGCGGGCCCTGCTGCTCCTCCCGCTCCTCCCAGCCTCCTGCTCGGGCTGTTGCTGCCGATGCTGTCCCGACTCGTCCCAATCCTTCCTCATCCTCGTCGTCTTCCTCCTGCTCATCGTCTTGCTCATCCGCCACCTCCTCCTTCCCATCCCCGTCCTCCTCCTCCTCCTCTTCCTCCTCCTCCTCCTCCTCCTCCTCCTCCTCCTGCTCCTCCTCCTCCTCCTCATCCTCCTCCTCCTCCTCCTCCTGCTCCTGCTCCTCCCCTCCCCTCCTCCTCCTCCTCCCTCCTCCTCCTCCTCCTCCCTTCGCCTCCTCCTCTCCTCCTCCTCCTCCTCCTCCTTCTCCTTCTTCCTCCTCCTCCTCCTCCTCTCCTCCTCCCCTTTCCTCCTCATCCTCCTCATCCTCCTCCTACTCCTCCTCCTCCTCCCCCTCCTCTCATCCTCCTCCTCCTACTCCTCCTCTACTCCTCCTCCGCCTCCTCCTCCTCCCCTCCTCCTCCTCCTCCTCCTCCTGCTCCCTCCTCCTCCTCCTCCTCCTCCTCCTCCTCCTCCTCCTCTCCCCATTCCTCCCCCTCCTCCTCTACCAACTCTCCCATCCTCCTCCGCCTCCTCCTCCTCTCCTCCTCCTCCTCCTCCTCCTCCTCCTCCTCCTCCTCCTCCTCCTCCTCCTCCTCCTCCTCCTCCTCCTCCTCCTCCTCCTCCTCCTCCTCCTCCTCCTCCTCCTTCCCTTCTCTATCTGCCATGTGCTCAGTCGCCGATGGCGTCGACAACGACGATGTCGTCGCCGCCGCCGATGCTGACGCTGACGACAACCACAGAAGACGATAACGATGGCGACCACGACAACGACTGCGACGACGACGACGACGACGACGACGACGACGACGACGACGACGAGGGGGAAGGGGAGATGGAAGGGGAGAGACAGGAAGACGGACGCTGACGACGGTGACGTCGGCACCGCCGACGACGACGAGCGTGACCACGACCGCGACGACGACGACGACGACGACGACGCCGCCGACGACGACGACGACGGACGATGGACCACAAGATTGGCAACTGCAATGACGACAACGACGCGGTGGAGGGAGGGACGGAGGGAGGAGGCACGCAGGAGGACGACGAAGACAAAGACGACGCCGGCGGCGACAACGACGGCACGCCGTCGACGACGACGGGCGACAACGAAATCGACTAAGACAGGGAATTACGCAAGACGCTCGAATTCAACGCCCGGCAAACGAGAAACGGATGACGAAAGCCGACTACGCGGAAACCGACATACGCAGACGGGCGACGGCGAATGACCACGACGACATCGACGACGACCGACGCCGACGACGGGGGGCAACGGCGACGGCGACGTAGACGCCGACGGATGACGACGCCGACGGACGACGACACACGCCAACGCCGACGGCGGCAGCGGCGGAGGCGCCAGCGACGACGACGAACGGAACCCGCCTCCACAGAGGCCCCCCTCTGGGACACCATGCCGCAGCCCATCTCGTCGGGGGACGTCAACCGACCACCTCACCGATTCTTGCCAGGCGCCATCCTGTGCCCAGGATGGGCGTCGGTTTCTCCCTGGCCAGGACGCGAGGGTGTACACGGTCAGGCGATCACGCAAGCGAGAGAAGGAACGAAGGCGCTGTTGAGGTCACGGCGATCCTCGGCCACGAAAACAAATTTTCTGGCGAGCCCGGCCAGGATCGCTGAGGCCGAAATTACCCAGGCATGAAGCGAGCGGGTCCCGAAGGAAACGCGTCCTGGACCCAAGGGGCCTTCCCCCGAGCCCAACTCCTCATCCTGAGTCGTTCTTCTACGGTGCCGCGGAGGGCCCCGGACTCCGAAAACGGCGAACAACCCGAGCCAAATGTCCCTTCCCAGACATCCTCCGATGAGTTCAATCCGCGGCCCAAGAGCTTCCGATCCCCTCCCCAGGAATGGCTATCCACGCCGGACAGATGCTTGAAAGGCCTGTAAGACAGAAAACGGACCCCGGAGGCCGAAATCAAGGGGAAACGCCAGGATGAAAAAAAACATCGTCGAATGGAAAACAATTGATCCCCCGGCTCGTTCCGGGGAACGTCCTGGGCAGAATCTCCAGGCCGTTCCAACCGTGCCCCCATGGACGCCCACGAAGGGCGAAAAAAAGTCAAAGTTCGATCCTCGAGGTCTTGGTTCGCCTAACTGTTCTTTGGAGGAACCTAAAGTACCGATACAGCTACTCCCTGGACATCTCCCAGGGTGCGTTCTGACCGGAATTTCGAGGCGAGTCCAGCGGTGGCGACGAGGGCCTCCGAGGAGGCCCCAGAAGGCGAAAACGAGGGCAGGGTGCGGCATGGGCACCTCGTCCTCCTCTGACTCACGGCGAGGCCTGTCCGTCGACGTCCCCCGCTCTCGGCAGCCACCGCGGCCCGCGCGGGACCGAGGCGCGGCCCGTGCGAGGCAGGAATTCATCCACGTCCACCGCCCCGGAACCGGCGCCCTGGTGCCCCAGCGGGCGGTGGATGTGGATACAGCTGGGCCCCCGGGGGCCCGAAGATATCCACACCCACCGCCTGCCGAGGTCCCCGAAGATTGCTCCTCCAGTCGGCGACTCGCAAGAGTGACCCTGGGCAAGAGTGACCCTTTGCTGCGCAGCTTTTTGGGGGACCGCGGGGAGGCCAAACCCAGGCGCGATCGCCGCTGCTGCCGCTTCGCGGTCGGCCATCTGGGGGCCCAGCTGTGCCCCGCACCGAGAGGTCCCTCCGGCGAAAGGTCACCCTTACGTCTAGTCGATCCGGGCGGTGGCCATGTACACCCTCCCGCCTCGCAGCCTCAGGGCGGCCGTCGCTCGGCCGCCCGCCCGCCGCCACCCCCGCCGCCCGCGGGCGCGGGCAGCTCTCGCCGCCCCCCGGAGCAGGGAGCGGCGTCTGAGGCGCGGCGCGGCGCGGGCGGCCCGGCGGAGGGCGCGCGAGCCCAGAGGTCAGACACAGACATGCGCGTGTCTCCAAAGCGTCCCGTCGAGGAGGAGGAGGAGGAGGAGGAGGAGGAGGAGGAGGAGGAAGGAGGGGGAGGAGGAGGAGGAGGGAGGAGAGGGAGGAGGGAGGAGAGGAGGAGGAGGAGGAGAGGAGGAGAGAGGAGGAGGGGAGGAGGAGGAGGATGAGGAGGAGAAGGAGAAGGAGAGGAGGAGGAGAGGAGAGAGGAGAGAGGAGGAGGAGGAGGAGGAGGAGGAGAGGAGGAGGAGGAGAGGAGGAGGGAGGAGGAGGCAGGAGGAGGGAGGAGGAGAAGAGGGAGGAGAGGGAGGAGGAGGAAATGAGGAGGAGGAGGAGGAGGAGGAGGCAGGGGGAGGGAAGAGCAGGATGCGCAGGAGGGAGGCGGGGCGAGAACCTGTGCAGACGTATAAACTCAAGCAAGCATGGGGCTGGCGGAGGCGATGCCTGAGAGAGCGACACCTTTGTGCGCGGCGTTCCTCTGAGCGTGCATCTGAGCACCTTTGACACGCATACAGGATAACATCCGCCACCGTGCCTCTGGGCACGGAGTGGGCGAGTCCTCAGGTCCTTTGCCTCATCCTCTGAGCCTCAGCCCACACCCCTGAGGAAAGGGCCCGGACCCCAAAGTTTCCAATTGACCAGGGCTTCCCGAGTGCCCCCTGGCCTCCGGGAAGTGTTCCCGCATGACTTGTTCGGGCCCAGGAGGGCCTGGGACAGGCCAGATCGGCCTGCAAGACGGTCCAAGGGGGCCCGAAGACGCCCAAAGATCAGCATAAGACGCCCAAGATGCCCTCCCAACGGCCCAAGAGGCCTCCAAGACGCCCCAAGAGGCCTCCAACAGGCATCCCAAGAGGAACTCAAGAGGCAAACATAAGTGACGGTTCTTAGGTTGTTTACAGATGTTGGCGTTCTCGCCTTGTCGGCATTCCGACGCTCCAAGACAGGCCAAGAGGCCAAGAAGGCCACCCCGAAACGGCCCAAGAGGCCTCCAAGAGGGCCCCAAGACAGCCGAAGAGCGCCTCAAGATAGTCCAAGGTGGGACTCCCGATGGGGCCACGAATCGTGTGATGGGTGAGGATGATGATGATGATGATGATGAGGAGGATGAGGATGAGGATGAGGATGATGCTGATGATGATGATGCTGATGATGATAATGCTGATGATGCTGATGCTGATGATGACGATGCTGATGATGATGATGATGATGCTGATGATGATGATGATGATGATGATGATGGTGATGAGGAGGAGGAGATGGAGAAGAGGAAGAGGACAGGGAGGAATAACAAAAAAAAGAGGAGGAGGAGGAGGAGGAGGGAGAGAGAGAGAGAGAGAGAGAGAGAGAGTAGAAGGAGGAGGAGCGTGGGGGGGGGGAGGAGAAGCGTAGAAGTAGGAGGAGGAGCAGAAAAAGAAAGAGGAAAAGGAGGAACAGACGAGGAAGAAGGAGGAACATGAGAGAGAGGGGGAGGAGGAGAACGACGACGACGAGTAGGAACATGATACGGAAGAGGACGAGGAGGAACAGGAAAGGGAGGAGGAACAGGAAAGAGAGGAGGAGGACAACGACGAGTAGGAACAGGAGAAAGAGGAGGAAGAGTGGGAGTAGGAGAGGCAAGAGGAACTGGAGAGGAAGCAGGAGAAGGAGCAGGAGGGGATGATGCTGGTGATGCTGATGATGATTGTGATGCTGCTGCTGTTGCTAAGATGATGATGATGATGATGATGATGATGATGATGATGCTAATGATAATGATGCTGATGATGCTGATGATGATGGCGATACTGCTTATGATGATGATGGTGATGATGATGACGACGATGATGCTGACGATGCTGATAAAGATGGTGATGATGGTGATGATGGTGGTGATGATGATGCTGATTATGATTATGATTATGATGATGATTATGATGATGATGATGATGATGATGATGATGATGATGATGATGATGATGATGATGATGATGATGATGATGATGATGATGGTGATGCTGATGATGATGGTGCTGCTGCTGCTGATGATGATGCTCATGATGATGAGACAGAGGAGGAAAAGGCGAGGGAGGAAGAACAGGAACCTGAGCCGGAGGATGAGCGTATAGGGAGGTAACGAAACGTAAGGGGAGGAGGAGGAGGAGGAAGAGGAAGAGGAGGAGGAGAAGGAAGAGGAAGAGGAGGAACATGAGAGGCCGGACGAGGAACAGGAGAGGCAGGAGGAGGAGGAGGAAGAGGACGACGACAACGACGACGAGGAGTAGGAACAGGAGATGGAAGAGGAAGAGGAAGAAAAGGAAGGGATGCGGAGGAAAGGTAGAGGGAGGAGGAGGAAGAGAAGGAGGACGAGGAGGAGCAGGATAGGAGGAACAGGAGAGGGCGGAGGAGGAGGACTGCGAAGAGGAGTAGGAACAGGAGATGGACGAGGAAGAGAAGGAAAAGGAAAGGCAAGAGGAACTAAAAAGGGAGCAGGGGGAGGAGCAGGAGGGGGATGATGATGAAGATGCTGCTGATGATGATGGTGATGATGATGCTGATGATGGTGCTGATGATGAAGATGATAATGGAGATGCTGATGATGAGGATGATCATGCTGATGATGGTGCTGATGATGATGAATATGATAATGATAATAATGATGATGATGATGATGATGATGATGACGATCATAATGATGATATACGGATGATGATGATGATGGTGATGATGATGATGCTGATGATGATGATGATGGTGGTGGTGATGATGTTGATAATGGTGATGATGATGGTGATGGTGATGATCATGAATATGAATATGATGATGATCATGATGATGATAATGATGATGGTGATGGTGATGCTGGTGCTGATGCTGATGCTTATGCTGATGATGACGATGATGCTGATGCTGATGCTGATGCTGATGCTGATGCTGATGCTGATGATGATGATGATGATGATGATGATGATGATGATGATGATGATGATGATGATGATGATGGTGGTGATGAGGAGGAGAAGGAAAAGGAGAGGGAGGAAGAACAGGAACATGAGGGGGAGGGGGAGGAGGAGGAAGAGGAGCATAGAGGGAGGAAGAGGAGCGTAGAGGAAGAACGAGGAGGAGGAGGAGGAGGAGGAGGAGGAGGAAGAGGAGAGGGAGGAAGGACAGGAACATGAGAAGGAGGAGGAGCGTAGAGGAGCGTAGAGGGAGGACGAGGAGGAGGGGGAGGAGGAGGAACAGGAGAAGGAGGAGGAAGAGGAGGAACAGGAGAGAGGAAGGAGGAGGAACAGGAGAGGGAGGAGGAGGATGAGGAGGAGGACGACGACGAGAAGGAACAGGAGATGGAAGAGGAAGGGGAGGAGAAGGAGAGGGATGAGGAGGAACAGTAGAGGGGGAAGGAGGAGGAGGAGGAACAGGAGAAGGAGGAGGAGGAGGAGGAGGACGAGGAGGAGGAGGAATGGGAGAGGAGGGGAGAAGGGAAGGAGGAGGAGAAGACGATAGGAGCGGAGGAGGAGGAGGAAAGAGGACGACGACGAGGAGGAACAGGAGAGGGAGGAGGAGGAGGAGGAGGA